GAAACACTGGTCCAAAAAGGAGAGAAGCCTAGGGTGACAACATTGCTCCTCCATAGATACAGTACACCGAGTAAGCATTGGATTAGCAGATGAAACTAACATTTTAGTTTCTCGGGATTAGATACGCTTTGACTTCGCATTATGAAACCAAATCATCCAGGAATTCCTACCTACATATTTTGAGCAATAAAAATATACAAGGGTACTGATCCCTCCCTACTCTACCTAAAAAATTTGACTAGAGATAAAATTTATGAAATAATCAATGGATGGTCAAAGCTCTGTCTACATGTTGTAACATGTCCTTTTCTGAGTCTGCACCTCTGCTTTCTGAGCAGGAATCGAAAATAACAAGTAGGAGTTTGAGGCAGAGGTCTGGAATGTGAGGATCTGGCTGTACAAAATGTTCCCTTCTAGATATTTCCTTTTGTGGCAGACAGAATGTTATATAAAACTCAGCTCTCCGTTTGCTTTGGACCATGTCCAAAATTATGTAACAATGACGTCATTCTGTCAGCTGGGGATGGTTTCCGCCACAGACAAAGGAAAGGAATGTCATGTTCCTTAACCCTGTCTGCAATGTGGTGGTGAGAAGCAAGGATGGAGGTCCAACATTCCTCTGGGAGGATTTGAGACTACATTTACATATTTTGTTATGAAAATAGATGCTGCCACTATTTCAGACTGTCTATGGCACATAAAGGGTTGCCTCATTGACAAAAATGTTTTAAAAATAAACCTTTATATTGTCTTTAACTGGTTGGATTCCTTTCTTTCTATTCTTCCTTCCTTTTCTTTCTCTTTCTTTCATTCTTTCTTTGCCTTTTTTCTTTCTTTCTTTCTTTCCCTTTTCTCTTTCTTCCCTCTTTCCCTTTTCTCTTTCCTTCTTTCTTTCTTTCTTTCTTTCCCTTTTCTCTTTCTTTCTCTCTTTCTTTCCCTTTTCTCTTTCTTTCCCTTTTCTCTTTCTCTCTTTCTTTCCATTTTCTCTTTCTTTATTTCCCTGGTGAGGCCCCCCCCCCCCCCCCCAAAGGTCTGGAAGACTGTTGTATCTGGCCACGGATGAGTGTCTCGAAGTGTGCTTTTCCCTTTTACGCTTGTGAGTAGTAATTCTACTCATTTTCTTTTCTTTCTTCCTTTCCCTTTTCTTTCATTTCTTCCTTCCTTTCCCTTTTCTGTCTTTTCTTTCTTTCTTTCCCTTTTCTGTCTTTTCTTCCTTTCTTCCTTTCTTTCCCTTTTCTGTCTTTTCTTCCTTTCTTTCCCTTTTCTTTCTTTCTTTCTTTCTTTCTTTCTCTCTCTTTTTTTCTTTCTTTCTTTCTTTCTTTCTTTCTTCCTTCCTTTCCATTTTTTTTCTTTTCTTTCTTTCCCTTTTTCTTTTACGTCTGGAAGACTGTTGTATCTGGCCACGGATGAGTGGCTCGAAGTGTGCTTTTTCCCTTTTATGCTTGTGAGTAATAATTGTACTCATTTTCTTTTCTTTTTTTTCTTTCTTTCCTTCCTTTCTTCCCCTATTCTTTCTTTTCTTCCTTTCCCTTTTTTCTTTCTTTCTTTCTTTCTTTCTTTCTTTCTTTCTTTCTCTTTCTTACTTTCTTCCTTCCTTTCTTCTTTCCTTCCTTCCTTCCTTTCCATTTTCTTTCATTTCTTCATTTTCCTTCTCTTTTACGTCTGGAAGACTGTTGTATCTGGCTACAGATGAGTGGCTTGAAGTGTGCCTTTCACTTTGTGAGTAGCAATTCTACTAATTTTAGAATAAAGATCCTTAGGATAGTGCACTAGGTCGGTGCACCCTATTTTTCTCTTTTTTGTTGTTGTAGACTGATTTTATACACCTGTGGCCATGGAGGTGATTGGAACACCTGAATCCAATGATTTGGAGGGATGTCCCAATACGTTTGGCAATATAGTGTGTGTGTATATATGTATGTGTGTATGTATGTATATTTATATATATATATATATATATATATATATATATATATATATATATATTAATAAAAATTCTTATCGTTAGCATTTTCAAAGTGATAGAGGTCACCTGAGCTAGTTTAAAAAAAATGGGAATTTTCCCTTGATATGGGATTATTCTGATAACCAATCAACTGATCTATATAAAATCTAATCATTGTAAAGGAGATAAGATATTACATGAAGACATGGTTCTATAGAACATTGGAAGTGACAATGGACAGTTGGAATGTGATGGGAACCAGGTTTTTGCCCTTTACCCCAGTCTGTCCTGTGGCATGTATGACTCACAGCTGACTCACTGTTAGTAAACAGGGAATAAACTGTATTGCAATTCATTGTCACATTCTGCTGAAGTACAATGTAGACCAATCTTGCTAAGTAATATGTCTGGACATGTAACTCCTCATGTAATAAAGTCATTTATGATTATTAGCAGCGCTCACCTGCGTACAACTAAATTATATCAATTTTGGAATTTTGGCTCAAAACAATCAACTATATTCCATCGTATACATTTTATTTTCAGTAATATTGCTTGGCTAATTTAGGGCTGTCCAATTGGTGGCCCATGAAGTCTCTGTCGTGGTGGTTGGATGCTGAGTGCTGGAATGATCTTTGCATCCCAGCATCTGGAACTGGACACCAGCACTGTCAGTTGTGCACAGTGATCTCCTGCCCAAAAGTGATAGAATTGTTTCAATCTGATGTCATTGGGGGGTTGGAAGCAATGACACCAATGAAGTGGGACACCAACAAGGGGGGGGGGGGGATTTTTATTGTGGCCACTGACACCAGAGAAAGGTAGGAGTTATCATAACTGAATCTGGAATCAATGAATAGAGGTTATTATTGCTGACACCAATAAAGGAGGGGGGGGGGTATTTTTGCTGTCTCTGTTATGAGCTGGACATCACTATCTGGCAACCCTTGTATGGTGGTCTATGGCACCACATTGCTTCCCTATAGGGGTAGTATGGAGATGAGTTGGGAGACCCCCAAGCATGGAGATTCCTATGAATGGGTTATCCTTGGGATTTGTGTATCATTCCCTTACCTCAAGGGCTGTTAAGGACCCCCATTAGTTAAGTGGGCTACCAGTTCACCTCAGGGCTGTGTTCTTGGCATTATGTTGTGGGGTGTGAATGATTGGGTGTCAGTCACTTTAGAAGTAGTCAGTGCATGTATTCAACTTTAAAAAAGGTATATTAAGGAGATCGGCGTGGGACTCAGGATACCCATTAACACAATGCAAACTCCAGATTCTACTTACATAGTTACATAGTTAGCCTGGTTGAAAAAAGTCCATCCAGATCTTGCAGTAATACAGAAAAGGACCTTTAAGGTTCAACTCCAGGAAACATAGAAATTAACCTTTGTAGTGGATATGTGTCTACACTACAAGGGTTAGTTTTTTAGGTCTAGGAGATTTGTTAAAGTAGATTTATATTTATACAATCCTCTGTTCCTCTGCACTGCTAGGCCAGTCATTAAAGTGTCTTCTCCCTCATCCGCATGACATCATCAAAACCAATGCAGGGTCCATAACCCTACACTGGACGTGATGACACCGTGGGATGGTTGACTGGTAAGTGCTTCTCCTATATCCTAAACTAAATGTGCCGTTAACACTACACAGTGCATTCTCAACCCCACTACAAGGGATAATTGTTACATTTCATGGAGTTAGGCTTTAAGCTGAGCATGGCAAACTGTATTCTGCAGACCCAAACAACAGAGTAAATGCAATGCTTAATCTCCCTGAACAGGCTACTACACTTCCTGTGAGGTTCCAACTCTAATTTACATAGTTACATACAGGGGCGGACTGACAACTCATGGGGCCCCCGGGCAATAGGGGATCATGGGGCCCCTGTGTCCTTGCCCAAACTCAAAAAAGCCTATGAAAAAGGTACCAGGGGCATCTCATGGGGCCCCCTACTTACCCCGGGCCCTCGGGTAGTGCCCGAGTTTCCAAATGGTCAGTCCACCCCTGGTTACATATGACTTCTGTTAACTTCTGAGGACACTTCCAGCAGCAGAAGTGCCTCCCTGTTCCTCTGTACCAGGACTCAGCTTCTCTTCTTCTGGGCAGCTCCTACAGCAATGCAGAGTAAGCCTCAGGCCTAAGACCCAAGCATGGCTCCCCAAAGTACATGTGTGGCCACCTCCGGTAGCAGGCCTAAGAGGTCAAAAAACAGCTTAATACACATCTTCCCAAGGCAAAGCCTGGGAGATAAGTTCACCTCAAACATTTATATCCTTCCCCAGACTCCACCACTGGCAAGAAACTACTTAGTCTTAGCCAAGGATTGAAAACCCAATGTTATTGTATCTTACACTATTGCCAGTGACACTCCCCAACAGCAGGCAGAAGCAAACAATAATACTGGGCTTAGGGGAAACCAAATGAACATTAATCAGGCTTTGGCTTAATATAGCCAAGCACTACTCGCTTAAGGCAGGTTGGCTACATATGCATGTCTTTAACTGTTTTTTTTACAATAGGCATGCCATTGCATTATATTTTTGAACTGGAAATTGTAACAAAAAAAAAAAGTTGATTTAAATGCAGCACTCTGCTCTATTTGTGGATACAAATGTGGCCCATGGGCCCTTTTATATTAGACCACACTGATCTAAGTATCTCTCCACTTATTTTGTCTCTTTTCAGTTCTCTCACCAAAAAGAGTTGTGACCCATATTCCTGCTACCCTCATTCCATTCTGGTACCCTGCACCATGACCAATCCACGGGTTTTCTTTGACATCATGGTTGACTATAAACCAATTGGCCATATTATTATGGAACTGAGAAGAGATGTTGGTCCAAAGATGACAAAACCATTTCTTGAGTTGTGCACCAGAGGAAAAGGATTTGGATACAAAGGTTCCCACTTCCACAGAATCATCCCGGGCTTTATGTGACAGGGTGGAGACTTCAGCCATCATGACAGAACTGGTGGAAGATCTATCTATAGAGAAAAATTTGAAGATGAGAACTTCATCATAAAGCACACCAGACCAGGCATCCTATCTATGGCCAGTTCTGGCCCCAACACAAATGGTTCCCAGTTTCTGCTCTGTCTGGGAAAGACAGAGTGGCTGGATGGAAAAAATGTTGTGCTTGGTTCTGTTGTTGATGGCATGACTGTTTTAGAACAAATAAGGTATGGTTTTAGAGAGGGGAAAACAAAAAAGAACTGTGGTCAGTTATAAAGAAACTTACATCCTCCATCATAGTCTTAAGCTGGTCACAGGAGGATAATTTTTTTTTTTATCAGCCAACCGACTGATCAAAAAAAAACTAATGAATTTCCCCATCCACACATTTGAGGTGCATGAAGGAATCCTCCCCTCTGTCAGAATGCACTAATCCGTGTTGCAGCTGATTGGCTGCATCATTGATTAAAGGAAAATTTTCCAACATTCCAGTTCGGGAGAAGCCAATCGATAGATTGACATCTCTCTAGTGGGAACGGCCATAGAAGGGTCAAAATTTGGCTGGTCCCTGCTGAACCAGCTAAATTTAAATCCATCTAAGGCCAGCTTTAGAGCAGAATGTAAATCTCAATAATGTAATTACCTCTTTTGCTCGACATCTAAGGACTGGATTACCGTCCTAATCCCTAGCAAAGCAGAAGCCTTCTAATGCATAACACTGTACCTGTATGTCTATGGATCTGTTGCTTTGAATGGACTAATAGGCTCTGTTGCTATAAACAGTATTAGTCTAGCAATGGGAGCTTGCTGACAGTTGGACATAGGAGAGAAAGTGGAATGATAGCACTACAATACATGAGGGGTGGGAACAGCTGGTGTATTTTTGTGGGACTTTCAGTCTTGTTCTGAGGGTTAAAATGATAGATGCTTTAGCTTTGGAAGGGTGCTTGCACCGTAGTCAAGTGATACAAACCCCAATTAGCTGCATAGATCTGTGTAATAGATATAAGTAGACATACACAAATTACAGTCTTCAGAGTAGATAAAGTGGACCTAACATTAGCTCTCTTTTCACGTAAAGTATATAAATGCTGTAATGTCACAGTTGCAGCTATTACCTCTTATAAAGACTACAGTACTCTGGCTCTGACTTTACTTTGACGTTTTATTCTAAATACTTATCACAAATCAGTGACCTAGAAAGTGTTTAAGCCACAGTAATGCAAACAGCATTTTCAGAGGTGCTTGGCATTAGTATCCCCCAGATTTTTTTCCCAATGCTCGTTTCCTTTGATCTTACAACCACCTTCTCCTCCCTACTTAGCTCTAGTCCTCTCCTCAATGCTCTTACATTTGGGATATACACAGGACCAGGGGCGGACTGACCATTTGGAAACTCGGGCAGTAGGGGGCCCCATGAGATGCCCCTGGTACCTTTTTCATAGGCTTTTTTGAGTTTGGGCAAGGACACAGGGGCCCCATGAGTTGTCAGTCCGCCCCTGCACAGGACCAACACAGCTCAGGGAAACTGCTACGCTTATGTAGCCACCTAATATTGCATTGCAGAGTTCAGTTGTATGTTCTCCTTACCTCTCCTTCACCCATCATATGAAAATGATATGAAAATGATATGAAACTTCACCTCTGCTTACCTTTCTAATGCTGGCCTTACACCTGTAGAATTTTGTTTGAACAAGAAAGTATAAAAATTGTTTGTCCAACCATCCATCTGTCTGAACCAAATTCTACAGGTGTAAGGCCAGCGTACGAGAGAGACCAACTCTTGTTCAATCTTTTGGGATTATAATATTGGCTACATGATTGTTTGAATGTATTGTCTTTTGTTGTGCAGGCATGTCTTCCATGTTGTAGGGGTTTTACTGCTTGAGAAAATTGGGTATTGTTGCTGGTAATCTTCTGTGGTTTATATGCCTCGAAGGATTGTTTATTTCATTTTAATGTACGTAATATTTCCGTTATCATTGACTAGGCTGTTCATTTGTAATTCCTTCTATATTTATAAAACTTTTCACCTACGGTTTGTGATGTGTGTTTCATTGCTGATCTTACCCTACTGATTGGTGAGAAGTGGAGTTTGATTTATAATATAGATATTATGTGTATCAATACCCCCCATAGGAGCTGCCTGTTAAGACAGGTTCTTTCCCCACAGAGGCAGCCAGGTACACAGTCATACTCCATTCACTCTGGCTCATTGAGCAGTCTAGGGATGTCTTTTTGAATATTCAGTGTTTGAAGAAACTTGTAACAGGAGAGGGTAGAGGGGTGTGGGATACTGCAAAATACCAAGCACAACTTGCAGAGGACACTTCTGTATCAGTAACACAAGGCCAGTTTGACTAGTATAGTCTGTAGGTGCACAGCTGAAGACCATGCAAACAGTATGAGCACTGGAACTGGAGCATTCTACTGTTCAGGGCTGAGGACCATTAAAATGACTTTACTAAAACAGCCTTAAGTCTTGCAACTGGGGACCACAAGGCAGTTTGAGGCACAGACAGGCTGGAACAGTTCAAATATCCACAGATGGAGACAATGGATAAACTGCAGTACTGGAACTAGGCGCTACTCACAGATCTCAGGAGTAGAGAAGTTCATGGGCATAGGCATGGCATTGCCCATAGGAGGGTAGTCCAGAGGTGCTCCACGGGCAGACAGCCCCCTGAAGCTTGCAGATCAGTTCCCTTTCAGCTCACAGATCCATTCCCATGGGGTTAAGACCATCTACTCAGGGATCCAGGCTATTTCACATCAGCCCAGCCACCACCTTGGCACACCTCCCCAGGAATTGGCCAGGCCCTGATAAATATTCAGGCTGGTCGTTCAAATTCTCCCTCCCTAAACTCTAAAAATTTCTTCTAGAGATGGGGGAAACAATCAGACTCCCAGCCTGTGAAACCCTGAACAGACCAGAGCAAAAAAAAATCACTGTTCCTCTGATTACAGAGCAAGCCAAAAACTAAATTTACCTAGCAGCCTAACTTGTAGGATGTTACATATTACTGTACCAAGTGGACATAATGTTTTTAAATTACAAAGGTCACTCAGATTTCACATGTTGGTAACTCTTCCTCTTTAGTAACTGTTTTTTTTTTTCATTGCAGGAAAATAATAGATTCCAAGCAGAAGCAATGTGCCCTCATTGAGTTTTTGAGAAGGAGGGGTGCATGCTTTCTGACATCCACAATAGACTACAGACTGTATACAGAGATTACACCATTGACGAGCAATGTCTTGTCATTGGTGATTCTTGTCAATGATGTAATCTCCATAAACATTCTGTAGCCTTCTGTGGATGTTGGACAGCCTGTACCCCTCCTTCGTTAAGAACTCAGCGATGGCACATGGCTTCTGCCTGAAATCCATTTTTTACCTGGAATGAGAAGAAAGAGTTACAATAGAGGAAGAGTTAGGCAGGCCACACTGTATTTTTTGCAGTTTTCTTTCCTTCCACCCAGGGGCGGACTGACAACTCATGGGGCCTCCGGGCAATAGGGGTTCATGGGGCCCCTGTGTCCTCACCCACACCAAAAAAAGCCTATGGAAAAGGTACCAGGGGCATCTCATGGGGCCCCCTACTGACCCAGGGCCCTCGGGCAGTGCTCGAGTTCCCAAATGGTCAGTCCGTCCCTGCTTCCACCATGGGTGGAAAATTGCTTGATTCTCCCATCAACACTGTCAGTATTGATCCCTCCCGCAGTGATATTGTGTTCTGTAGGGGGGAAGCTTTCCCTGCTCAGAGAACACAGTGATTAGTGTTGATGGCTAAAGCAGGAGGCACTAATCATTTAGGAAAAGCTGACAGGGCTGACAGCAGGTGGAGCTGCCTAGCTTGTGGCCATAGCGAGCAGCCCAGTTGACCCCCAACATACACTGACCTTCCATTCAATATGATACCCTTGCCCACGACTCTTTTGTTGCCGACCCCCCTCTCCACCCTCCTCGCTGCATGGCTTTGCCCCCTCACTCCCAGGAGTTCCAGATGCTGGCCTCACCTTTCTCAGGCCCGACAGTAAGGGGACATCGGTAGAACACTCACACTCTCTTCAGAGCCACATTGTGATTGAATAAGGCACACTGAGGCTTAGGAGGGAAGGGACCAAGGGGTAAACCAACTCCAGAGGTCTTACTCTGCACCTAAACTGTACTGTTGGAGCTCTCCATCTCTCTTGGGGCTATAGTAGAGAACCCCGAGGCACCCTGCCCTTTCGCCTGATGTGGGGAGGGGGAGAGAGCAGGAGCACAGCAGCTTAATGTTGCCTCTTCTCCTTCCTCTTTAGTCTGTCCCATCTCCATCCCTGGTCCTGCCTAAACTCCCAATTGTATCCCAAGGGGAAGAGACACCTTAAAGGGAACCTGCTTTACCACCAGCCTACAGAATGGTTGTACATAAGTTGATTGATCAATGTACTTGTGTACAACCAGGGTGCCCAAACATGGATGGAATTCGGATGGTCCCTGCTTAACCATCTGAATTTAGATCCATGTATGGCTTGCTTTACTCTACCAACAGTTAAAATTTGAATGACCTATGTAAATTGATAAAAAGTTATGTCCACTTTTGCATTATTTACAGTATAGCCCTTCTATTAAGGTTGATTTATTATATGTTTAAGCACCCCCACCTTTCTCCACATTTTCTTACATTAGTCAGAGTATACATGGATATTAGAAGACTCCAGAATGCATATCATTATGCTCTGTTATCGAGCATATTTTAGTTATTGTATTTCTATTAATAGTAGGATTATAAACGTAACAGAGGTCATCTAGGTAAAAAAAGGGCATTTTCTTGAGATGCAGGATTACGATTCATTATAATTTATATAAATTCTGAAGTAGATGAGATCATGTGAAGACACGTGCAATGTCCTGTAAGAAATCGGAAGTGACAATAAAAATTTGGTATGAATAGACTGTACAGTATGTGATGGGAACCAGGTCTTTGCCCTTTACCCCAGTTTGTGTATTCACAGCTGACTCACTGTTCATACACAAGGAAAAAAATGCAGTTGTCACATTCTGCTCCAGTATAAAGCAGACCAATCCCACTAAGAAATATGTCAGGACTTGTAACTCCTCATGTAATAAGGTCAGTTCTGATAATTATCAGCGTTCACCTTTGTACAGCTTAACGTCACTCACTGGATTTGCAGCTCAGTGCCATCAACTATAACTCATTGTATATGATTTATTTGCAGTAATAAAGGAATCTTTTATCTAGGTGAGGGCTGTCCAACTGGCGGCCTCAGAGGTCCCTGCTAGAGCCTATGCAGAGTGGTAGCAGGGAGCTGAGTGCCGGAATGCTTAAACTTAAATGGCGCCAGCACTGCCAGATCTGCAGAGTGATCTCTGGCCTCAATAGGGTAGTAGAGTTTCAGTCTGATGTGAGTGTGGGAATAGGAAGCAGTGCTGGAATGTGCATTCAAGTAACTATTGCCACCAATGAAAGGGGATTTATTGCTGCCACCAGGGCCGAGGATAAGGGGGTACCACTAGTCCTCCTGTACGGGGCCCAGGCCAGCATGTTGGCCCAAGCAACCAGGTGAATTACATGTGGGCAGGGTGTCAGAAATGGACTCGCCAATGGTGGTGGGACTCATCTGCCTTGTGGGCTGCAGTACCAGGGCTGGCTTGCGGGTGCTCTCAGCAGCCAGAAGCTCACTCCTGCAATCAAGCCATCACCTGAGACTGATTGCAGGAGGTGTATTTAAGGAATGGCCAGGCCTGCAGTCAGGGCCTTGGTGTATTGGTCCCATGAGCCCCTGTACCTGCATCCTGCCTGCTTCCTGCCTGATCCTGACTCTGCTTGAACTCTGCCTGCAATGACCTCGGCTACTCCTGACCAATCTTCTGCCTACTCCTTGTACCTTGTCTGCCCGTTAGCTACCGACCCGGCCCGCCTGACTATGTTGTGCTCCATATTTATTTATATATATATATATATATCAGTTAAGGTTTGGGTTTGTTGCACCTTGTACGTATTTGTGTTAGTTTTGGGTTTGGTTTGTTGCACTGCGTTTATGTTTGTGTTGTCCTTAATAAATTATATTGTTATACACGCTATACCTAAAGTCTGTGTTTCCCTGTGTCGGTCCACACACCTCTGGTCATACCCGGAGCCCTGACACAGGGAGGGTGATCAGCACAGCGGGGGGACGGGGGGGGGGAAATACTGGAACCATTCCCCTGCATGGCTCTTTCTGCCACGACTGAAAGCTGGCTTCTTCTCCTCTCACTCCTGCTGGTTTTCAGCTGCTGCAGAGAGAGGGATCATTTCCAATAATTTCTTCCCCACCACACCCATCACCCTCCCTGTGCACCGTATGTTTCCCCCTGCTGCCCAGGCCCCCCTGTATGCCCCCACCCTCACAGTGCTACTGGCTTCCCCTCCTCTCCTTCCCACCGGCTGCTGCAAGCACACAATAGGATCCTTCAGGGATGGAGAACAGGGGGAAGGGTCCGGTAAATATGTCACATTTGCCAGCCCCTTTATTTCCTGAATGAACATAATGAGTGATCGGTAGTGGTCATTCATAACTGAAGCATAGTAAACTTTGTTTTCTCTGGGGGCCCTGTCAGGTTGGCTGTATGGGACCCTGTGCATTCTAACAGCAGCCCTGGCTGCCACTGACACCAGTGGGGGTGGGGTTATTGTTCAGTCCGGGATCAATGAATAAAGGGTATTATTGCTGACACCAGTGAAGGTGGGATTTTCATTGCTGCCACTGATAGCAATGTAAGTTTGGGCTTTTTTGTTTGTATTTTGTTTTGTTTTTTTTTTTAGTTGAACCCTAATTCTCATGTTTGTGCCATCATATCGATTTCATACAAGGACAGTACACAGATGAATGGAAGGCCCCTTGAGCATGGAGACTCCTGGAAGGGACTTATCCTTGTTCTATGCATGTCCTTCACTGGTTTTATTACAATATGTATGGCCATTGCATGATATAATTGAACTGAAAATTGTAAAAAAAAAAACAAATTGTTGATTTTGATGTGGCCCTCTAATGTACAGTATATGTACATGCACATTTATTTATTTATTTCAGGTACTTATATAGCGCCGTCAATTTACACAGTGCTTTACATGTATATATTGTACATTCACATCAGTCCCTAACCCTCAAGGGGTGTACAATCTAAGGTCCCTAACTAAAATTCATACATACACATACTAGGGCCAATTTAGAAAGGAGCCAATTCACCTACCAGCATGTCTTTGGAGTGTGGCAGGAAGCCGGAGTACCTGGAGGAAACCCATGCAGGCACAGGGAGAACATGCAAACTCCATGCAGGTAGTGCTGTGGTTGGGATTTTAACCAACAACTCTAGTGCTGCCAAGGGGAAGTGCTAACCACTTAGACACTGTGCTGCCCACAAAATATACCTAAAATTAAATAAGTACTACATTTAATGAGTCACCCCTGCCTGAGGATGGTTACATATGCATGTCTTTTCCTGGTTTTATTACAATAGGCATGCCATTGTATGATATTGTTGAACTGGAAATTGTATAAAAAAAAAGAAATAGTTTGATTCAGATGCAACACTCTACTTGTGGATTGAAATGTGGCCCTTTAAGAAACCAATGATGTAAGTGTCTATTAACTTTTTATTTTGTCTCTTTTCAGTTCTCTCACCAAAAAGAGTTGTGACCAATATTCGTATTACCTTCATTCCATTCTTGTACCCCTCAGGTACCCTGCACCATGACCAATCCCCAGGTTTTCTTTGACATCACTACCGATGATGTACCAATTGGCCGTATTATTATGGGACTGAGAAATGATGTTTGTCCCCAGACAGCAAAAACTTTTCTTGAGTTGTGCACCGGAGTACTAGGATTTGGCTACAAAGGCTTCCGCTTCCATAGAATCATCCCAGGTTATATGTGTCAGGGTGAAGACTTCACCCATCATGACGGAACTGGTGGAAGATCTATCTACAGAGAAAATTTTGAAGATGAGAACTTGATCTTAAAGCACACCGGACCAGGCGTCCTATCCATGGCCAGTTCTGGCCCCAACTCAAATGGTTCCCAGTTTCTGCTCTGTCTGGGAAAGAGCGAGTGGCTGGATGGAAAAAAATGTTGTGTTCGGTTATATTGTTAGTGGCATACATGTTTTAGAAAAAATGGCACGTTATGGTACTAGGTATGGGAAAACATCTAAGAAAGTTGTAATTGCTGACTGTGGTCAGTTATAAACAGGGGCGGACTGACCATTTGGAAATTCGGGCACTGCCCGAGGGCCCGGGGTCAGTAGGGGGCCCCATGGGATGTCCCTGGTACCTTTTTCATAGGCTTTTTTGAGTTTGGGCAAGGACACAGGGGCCCCATGATCCCCTATTGCCCGGGGGCCCCATGAGTTGTCAGTCCTGGTTATAAATAACTTCCTCCATTATAGTCTTTGAGCCCATTCACACTAGAATGCCATGTGGGAAATCCATGCTCCGTACATTCAAATTACACTGCCCTTGTAATCTGCAGTGGGTGTCACTGCAAAGTTAACTACACCCCAAACGCAGGTTGCAAATGCAGTGCATTTTCCCGCATTGGATGGCATGGTACAAATGTACCATGCGAAATCCGGTTGCAGTGCATTTCCAAAAGTAATGCATTCCCATTAAAGATTGACTGAAATCACACTGCACAGAACTGTTTTTGAATTGCACATTAACATGCAGAGCAATCCTGTGCGATTTACATGCAGTTCCTTGTGTGAGTAGGCCGTTAAACTGGACACAGATGGATCATATTTTTTGATCAGCCAACCTGCTGATCAAAAAAAAAAAAAAACACAGATTCCTCCATCCACACATTCGAGGTGGATGAAGGAATCCTCCCCATTGCTCTATTGTATTCTGGAGTCAGGAACTCTTCCTCAGAATACAGTGTTTGGCATTAAGACGATCAGAAGATTTACTTCTTCCTAGCGGGAACAGCCATAGAAGGATCAAAAGTTGTACAGTGACTGCTGAATTAACCAAATTTCAATCCAGCCACAGCCAGCTTTAGGCTTTTAAGCTGCCAAACAAGCTGCGAAAAAGACCCATGCTTATATTTTACACTGGAAAAAAGACCATTGTAGGGCCAGTTCACTTATGGTTTGTTCACATTGTAGTCAGTCAAGCCCTGATGAAGGGGATGCTCTTGGACCCCCAAAATGGGTTGGATACTTTTTTGGATTGTACCCCTGACTTTTAATTAAATTAAGTTGTATCTGGACTTGTTAGTGGTGTGGCGCTTCAATTTCAATTCTTGTTACATGACGTTTATTGGATGCTTCCATTGCAGAGCTTCCCTTGTGAAAAAGTAATTTGCCTAGCTGCCTTAGATGATGTGACTTTACTTTGACTTTTTATTCTGTATAATTCCCACAAATCTGCACCCACAAATAGGCTGTGGTTTGAGATGTGTCGGGGTGCTATTAATAATGAATGGCAGCCTCACACATCTCTAAAGAGCAGCGCATTTTGGTTGTGGGTGCGGGAACAGCTGCGATTCCCATGCTCACAGCCAGCCCACATAGTGTGAACCTAGTCTGAAGCCACAGTAATGCAAACAGCATTTTCATAAGGTGCTCAGCATTGGTATCCCCCATATTTTTCTCAATGCTAGTTTCCTTTGATCTGCAACCACCTTCTCCTCCCTACTTAGCTCTAGCCCTCTCCTCAATGGTCTTACATTTGGAATATACACAGGACCAATGCAGCCCAGGAATCTGCTACGCTTAAATAGCCACCTAATATTGCATTGCAGATTTCAATTCTATGTTCTCCTTATCTCCCCTTCACCCATCATATGCAAATTTGAACAAGAAAGTATACCAATCACTCTTCCAACCACTCATTCGTCCAAACCAAATTCTACAGGTGTAAGGCCATCAAAAGAGAGGGACCAACCATTGTTCGATCCCCAGGGATTGTAATATCTGATCGTTGACTAGTTATCTACCAAGTTTATGTTTGCTTGTGTAGGAGTTGCAAGAGATTTGAGTCTCCCTATAGTCCTGCACAGCCTGGCAACATGCATTTCCTTCTATCAGACTTGCATTAGGAGACAGTAACCAGTCCTTGAGCTTTGTTTTGAATTTATTAGGGGATATAGAACTTGGATGGGGTAGGGAGTGAATGGGATGCCCAAGGGAATGGCAACTGAGGACAAACTCCTTAGCAACTATGTACAAGTCTTTACAGTAAAATTTATCTTCTGGAGAATTAGCCAGCATCTCCTGTAGTACCAGCCCAGATGACTTCATCCAGATGTGCTGAGTGAATTCCAGGGCAGGAATCCAGTGCCTGCCACTGCAGTGTTTATTAGTCCGCTGTAAGATAGCAAACCCAGTTCCCTACTAGAGTGCTCCTTTCCCCTTGCTGGCCCAGGGGGTGCAGGTTTACGCACTTGGTCCCTCTCCTGTGCTGCTGGTGGGTCGGTGGCTGCTATCAGGCTTTCTAGCTGGGCCACTCCTTTCCTGCCACACAGGTGGTCCTCTCTCAAGGGGCCAGTGAAGTCCCAAGTTTTCAGCCTTCCCAGGTCCTCTACCTGCAGGTGAGCCCCTCTCCATCTGGGCCCCCTCACAGGCTCCTGCCTCCAGCCTCACATCTTTCTGTTTCTTTCTTCCACTCAAACTCTTCTGCTGCTGAGCAGACTCACGCTTAAATATTGTCCTGGCCCCTTGCCAAGCCTCTTGTTGGGGATTGGCCAGGATCCCCTAAGAGTACAAACAAGCCACTCCTCAGATCCGCCCGCTGCCTCTATACCTTTCTCCACAGTTCTAGAGCAGGGGGGAAACTCCAGAAGGGCTGGTCTGCTGAGCCTCTTAGCTCTGACCAGAATTTTACCTCCCTCTGGCTGTTGCACCAGGCTGCTGCTCCCCCTAGCTATCTAGGAGGGTGCTACACTTACAGTAAATAGATTGTCTTTTGTTCTTCAGGTATGTTTTTCAGGGTGTAGGGGTTCTACTGCTTGAGAACATTGGGTATTGTTGCTGGTAATCTTCTGTGGTTTATATGTAATATTTTCTTACCAGTAACTAGGCAGTTCATGTGTAATTCTTTCTATAATATGTAATTTTTCACCTACAGTTTGCAATGTGTGTTTCATTGCTGACCTTACCCTATCAAGCGGTGAGAAGTGGAGTTTGATTTAAATTAATATAGATATTATGTGTAGTCCCACATAGGAGCCTGGTTAAGACAGGTTATTTCCCCACACAGTACAGAGGCAGCCAAGCACATGACCACATTCCATTCACTCTGGCTCATTGAACAGTCTAGGTCAGTGGTCTCCAACTGCTGCCCTTTGCTTGATTTATCCGGCCCTTGGGGCAATATTTTATTGCAATGACACCAACAATGGGGCACAGTTCCTCCGAATGACACCAAAGATAGGGCACAATTTCTCCCAATCACACTTTCAATAGGACACAATTCCTCCCACTGACTTCAAATATGGGGGCATTGTTGTTTCCCACTGACATCTGCACCTTTTTTTTAACTCCCAATGGTGATAGTCAGGCCCCAAAAGTCTAAAGGACAGTAAACTGGCCCTTTGTTTATAAAGTTTGGAGACCCTTTTGAATTAATTAATTGCTTTAAGAAACTTGTAACAAGAGAGGGTAGAGGGATGTGGGATACTCCAAAATGCCAAGCACAATTTGCAGAGGACACTTCTTTATCAGTGACAGTAGCACAAGGACAGTTCAACTAGTATAGTCTGTAGGTGCACAGCTGAAAACAATACAAACAGCATGAGCACTGGAACTGGAACAGTTCACGGCTTAGGACCATGAAGAAGGTTTTACTAGAACAGCCTTAATTCTTGCAGCCGGGGAGCAAGAGGCAGTTTACAGAACAAACAGAAAGGCTGGAACAGTTCAAGCATCCACAGCTGGAGACCATGGATAAACTAGAGCACAGAAATTAGGCTCTACTCACAGATCCCATGGGCAGAGAACAAGTCCATGGGCTCTGTCCATAGAAGAGTAGTCCAGCAGCCAGTCCAGAAGTGATCCAGCGACAGACAGTCCCCTGAAGCTTGCAGATCAGTTCCCTCTCAGCTCACAGATCTATTCCCAAAGGGGGAAAAATACCATCTCTTCAGGGCTACAGACTATTTAACAGCAGCCCACCATCAGGGCACACTTCGCCAGGGATTGGCCAGGCCCTGATCAATATTCTGGCTGGTCATTTCTCACTCCCTAGGCTTCTAGAGGCAGGGAAAGCAAAAACTCCCTGTCTGTGAAACCCTGATCATGCCACAGCAAAATTCATTGCTCCTCTCATTACAGAACAAGCTAAAAATTAAAATTTACCTAAAAGCCTAACAAGGTGGGTGCTACATACTGTATTAGGAGGGCTGAACTAAAAGTGGGCATAACGTTTTTTTATTAACTTACATGGGTCATTCAAATTTCACATGTTGGTAGAGTAACTCTTCCAATATAGTAACTCTTCCAATATAGTAACTCTTCTTTTTCATTGCAGGTAAATAATAAATTCCAAGCAAGTTCTTGATGAAGAAGGGGTGCAGGCTGTCCAACATCTACTGAAGGCTACAGAATGTTTACGGAGATGACACCATTGACAAGAGTCACCAATTACAAGACATTGCTCTTGTCAATGGTGTCATCTCCGTAAACATTCTGTAGCCTTCGGTAGATGTCAGACAGCCTACACCCCTTTTTTGCCAAGAACCCAGTGATGGCATGTTGCTTCTGCTTGGAATTCATTATTTACCTGCAATGTAGAAGAAGAGTTGCAGTCAGGGGCGGACTGAAAACTCATGGGGCCCCCGGGCAATAGGGCATCATGGGGCCCCTGTGTCCTTGCCAAAACTCAAAAAAACCTATGAAAAAGGTACCAGGGGCATCTCATGGGGCCCCCTACTGACCCCAGGCCCTCAGGCATTGCCCCAGTTCCCAAATGTTCAGTCATGGTTGCAGTAGAGAAAGAGTTACTCTACCAACATGTGAAATTTGAACGACCTACAGTAAGTAAGTTAATAAAAGGTTTGGTCCACTTTTGAATTTCTTTCAGTACAGCCCTTGCATCAAGGTTCATATTATTATTTGTTTAAATTATATGTGATCCCTCGCCTTGTAAAATATCCCATTAAGTTTAAAATATAAATGAAAGGCAAGATATATGTATATATATTTAAAACATTATAAATACATTTTTTTCCCGTGTGCGTGTGTGTTCAT